GGATGTGTTATGTAATTGCGGTGTATCTCTCTGATCTCTCTTTCATGATATGTTATTCTCTTCTGCTTGTCGTAATTTATAGGCACACTCACACTTTATTTGAAAGAATCTGGTACAGTTAAAAATCAAGGATACCATAAAGTGGGTTAATTTAAATAAAAGAAAAGTTAGTCCAAACCCCTGAGTTATAATAACCCCCTTTGGTTTTAGATATGGCTCACGACCCCTACCGCCGTTAGTCAGAGTTACTTAAAAATCTGTCATCTGACATCCTACACAACTCAAATTTCATATTTACCACTGATTTGCATAAAATAAAATAATTAATAAATATAAACCATTTTAAATTTATATAATAAATAATTAACTAAAAATCACTTATGAGAATTATCAAACCCTAAACTCCAATCAGTGGCGGCCAAGCTTGCGGTCTAACCCACAACCAAAATAAGAGGCTGCAGCTTTGCCCAACAAGGCCACGGCTTCCTAGCCTTCAAGAGGGCAACGCGACAGATGGTGGCTTGACAGGATGATGGGAAGAGGCAGTTTGACAAGATGGGAGGAGAAGACTTGAGTAGAGGAGGTGGTGGTGGCAGCCTAAGGAAAAAGAGGAGAGGGAGCGTGAAGAGAACGATGTGAGGAAGTAGCGGCTGCCTGAGGAGAAAGAAGAGAGTGGCCGCCTGAAAAGATGAAAGAAGGTGTCGACCTTTTAGGAAAAGATGATTAGATGATTAATTTTTTTGGGCTTCGTATTTTTTTATTTTTATGTGTTTGGATTTTAAATTTGGAATTAGTTTTAGTTTTTTTTTTTTTTTTTTTTTGGTTATTCATATAAAGTTAATCTTTTAGCCCTGATGTTTTTGATTTAACAGAAAGGTGTTAACGTTGACTAATAGTACTATAGCAGGGTGTTGTGAACTATCTTCCAAAAACAACAGGGGTTCAAATTTAGAAAGACTATCATTACAATAAAAAAGAAGTGGGACCAATTAGATAGACCATATAGGTCTTGCAATAATTAAGACCAACAGTAATATCAATTATTTAGTTTTATATATATTATAATTTATATGCAATATGGTATCTCATCTTATAATTGCATGTACAATTTTTGTTAAGTTCTTAACTAGATAAGTGTTAAATTAAAAAAAAAAAAAAAAAAAAAAATCACTTCCAATTGAGAAAATTTTCCAACTAAATTGGGTGATTATGCTTCCTCTTCTCTTTCTCTGGATCTACAATATTAGAAAAAGTTCAATTTATTCTACAGGTACTCCATCTTCGTTTCTCTCCACTTTCAAAATAAAATACATATTTAAGTGTGGGGCTCAAGAAAAGTCATATATGATACTTAATATACTCTTAATCCGATACTGAGGTGTACTATAACTTTTAGAGTAAACCACATCTTCCCACCCAAAGTTTGGAGACTCTACAATTCCCACCACTAGTTTCATAAATTGTAGATTCTCACCCTTAAATTAACAGATAACTATTTAATCTAACAGTTAAAAAGGTAAGATGGTTATTTCAAAGATAAAAATTTTAAAATAACCCTTCACTTCTTAAATTCACCCCACCAAAAAATTTCAAAATAACCCTTCACTTTTCTAATTTACCCCATCGGCGATTTCAGGCCATTTCGGCCTGTTTCCGACATAATCAACCCCTCCTGACACCACCATTACAATCCCCTCAACCCCCACATCAAAACTCATAACCTCCCTGCCTGATTGAACCCCCCAATCGCAGGTCGTTGCTTTTAGTGTCAATCGAAATTTCATTCAAATTCTGGCAAGTCCTGACCCCAAAAACCACCCGCAAGACCACCAATAGCATCATCAACTTCCACCCACCAAAACCCACAACATTTCTGACTGCAATTGCTCACCGATGGCCGTCGCCTCTCCCTTAGGTTTTAGCATTTTTTCGCCCCTTTCCAACCAAATTCCGGCACCTCGCCGAGGTGCAGTCAGGTGAAAAAGTTAGGGGTTTTGGTGAGGAGGATAAGGGGATGCTGATGGTGATGTCGAGGAGGTCCAATGGTGCTAGAATCAGGCTAGATTCTTGGGTTAGCCGGGATCTTTTAGGGTTATTTGAGGGAAATTTGAGATGTAAGGGTTATTTTGAGAAAAAAATAACAATGTTAATTTAAGAATGGAATCTGGAATTTATGAAACCAGGGGTGGGAACTGAAGGTTCGCCAAACCTTGGGTGGAAAAAAGTCGCTTACTCTAACTTTTAATCCGAGAACCATTAATTATAGTACAGATGTCTTAAAATAGAAGCAGCTAGATGATGATATTTGTAAGTGTGGGACTAATTAGCAAGAAAAATCCAAACACGTACACCACCTCAAATCAATAAGTGGGAGCCATTGATCAAAACAAGAAAAAAGACATGTGATCAATAATTTTTAAAAGATTTTTCATTAATTTTCTTCATCAATAATGCTATTACCTTGACGATTATCTTAGTTTTTAATTAATTTTCTACATCAATAATGGCTAAAACACATGGATTATATATATTTCTTACGACACAAACAATCTAGAATATTACGCAATCATATTGATAATTGATCATGCTCACGGACAACATCCAATGTTGATCTATATATATATAAAGATAAAAAAAAAACACAATTTTTAATATATCAAAATGTTAAATATTTTATCTTTTAGTGTCTTACATGTGTCTTTAAGGAACATGTAATAGCAACCCAAAAAAATTACTTTTGTTTACGGTATAAATGATTGATTGTTAAAAAGGATAGAAGAAATTTCATTATTGGAGATAAGTAATTAATGAGTAATATTATACATTCCAAAAGATATCACAAAATTCACTTTCCAAATTATGTGTTATCTTATCTAGCAATGTCATGTCATGTAAGTCACCAATTCATCACTTCTTTTAAAACTTAATACCATGCAAGATTATATATCACTGGAGATTCAAGAAAATTTTGAAATAATTTTTGCCATGAATGGTATTATTATTAATTAATATATACAAAGATAAGAACATGAGAAATTACGCACAACTATTATTTAATTATCACTAATGTAACTAAGAAAAGAAGCTTTAAAGATATTGAAGTGATAATGCTAGACCACAATGATTTGGTTGGCCAAATAGAAATAATTCACGTGAGATTGCTGTAAATACAGACAAAGCAAATAACAAAAGAGGAAAATTCATAAAGAAAGACCTGGAAGTCAATAGCTATGGATAAATTTACAAATGTCTCTAAATAGATGATATTGATAAATGTGGTCTATAAGCATGAAATGGATCACATGAACTTATTTCCACATTTTATGGATAAAGTGGGGCCATCAACCTTATCTCTTTCACATAGAAAACCACCAAATGATAATATTTAGTTTCTACATTTATTACATCATAATAACTTCTAATTTATGATTGTATTTGAAAAATATTTATTTGTATTGTCTTTCATTTTTATTTAGTGCTTATCTTGTTTATTATTAACATCATTCATTAATACAACACTCAAATTGTATTATTCAAAGATTTATATCTAATTATTAAATTAATACTTCTTAGTGTATTAACAATAAATTTATACAATACACATATGTTATTATTTTTTATTCTTTTAATATACAAAAAAAAAAAAAAAAAAAAAATATTTGCATTTTTAGATTCTTGCATATATTTTATAGAAAAAAATTATCCTTGTGATTGTAATTATCTTTAAATTTAAAATAATACTTCAATGTAAAACTTGTTCTTGTTTTATTATGTTGCAAAGAATTTCTTGTGTTCCAGTGCTCTTGGAAATTATCAATCGGTAATTTGTGTCTCATTATTTATTTTCAAATTTATATCCTTAGCATGCATCTTGACAAGGAGTTTGATGTTTAATTAATAGGAAATTAGGATTATGGTATGTAAATTAAGTTTTTTATTTTCATTTATTAAAATCATTGATTAGAAAGTACTTGTGGGCAATCTAATAATATAGATTTTGAAGTTTAAATAAAACGAGATGAATGTATATTAAGTTTAAATAAAGTGAGGTGAATGTATATTATATGCATTAACTATAGTATCTCATCTTATAATTAAATTACTTGTATGTGCAATTTTTGCAATCAACTTTTCAATTAGATAAGTCTTAAAATTACCAAAATTTGTCACATTAAAAATCATTTATAATTATAATTATTTGAAAAAAAAAAATAGGAAAACAAAATATATATCTAAACATTTTTCTGAAATATAGGGATGTATATAATATGCACATATGTTTGGCTTAAGTTCAAGTGTAAATGTTAAGTGATGCTACATTTGTAAGTCTAAAGGTTTATCTGATTATTTGATCATACCCATAATAAACAGAAGAGAGCTATAATTAAAATGGTAAAGGGGGTAAGAGACATGCAATAATTTTTTTTCAAAATGAAAAAAATAAAAAAAAAAATAGAAAAAGAAATTGAATGAGCAAGAAAACAGGCATTAAGTGAAAAAGTTAACAGATGAACTGTATTTGTCAATCAATAAATATATATTTAAGTGGTTGCCCCGTCATGCATCATGCATCATGCAGTTAGTTGTCTTACATGGACAATAATTACTCAATAAAGCTACAGACACCAAAAAATTTACACCGAAAATATGTACCGGCCTACGTGTACCAGACACCTGATTTTTCTATCAATTTTTTTCTAGTAGACGACCGTTCACTCACATGGACTCCCGTCCATATTATATGGACGGGGGTCCATATACCAGGGATGGGCGTCCCCATTTAAAGGACGTCTGTCCATAAATAAAATACAATAAAAAAATTTACAAAACATTAGGGACAGCCGTCCATCCATTATGGACGACCGTCCATTACTTTTGGAGGGGCGTCCACAAATAATGGACGTCCGTCCTTGACCCAAATATGAAAAAAAAAAAAAAACTTTGGGGACAGTCGTCCACAAATTTTGGACGACCGTCTCTTACGTTTGGACGAGCATCCATTAGAAATGGACGCTTGAACACCTCTTCTTCTTCGTCTTTGTTGATTTGATGGGTGCACTGGTAGCTCCAATGGGTGTGCTGAAGGCATTTTCCTGGAATGGGCCGGCCGTTTTGCCACGTGGAAACCATCCAAGGTCTCCACCCTTCTTCCCAGATGGGCATTCCGAATATTCTGCAGCTATCTGATGAGAAGGGGTAAGGAACAAAAATGATTTAGCAAACACCCAAACTCAGGCATTCTTAGTGGTGCCCAACTAAGTTGTCTTTCTTAAAAGTGCATAATTTATGCCAGGCATAATTTACCACTATAACTTAAATAAGATAGTCATCACTAACACTTGTGCTCATGGTCTCTAAACCAAGAGTGAATATTTAGCATCTTCAATAGTTATGGAATGATAGTTTCTACTGGATTCACCTTAGCAAACTCAGCTAGTGGAACCTTATCTCCATTGCTAAGCCAACCATCTTGCAGCTTCTTGTATGCTTCATTGATCTTCCCTCGTTTCTCACATAAGACATGTCTCGCTACAACAAATTAAGGAGTATCACAAGCAAAACCAGACAAAGAAAGGTGTGACAGATATGTGATAGATAATCATTAAATGAATGATAAGCTACTAAAGGCAGCAAGCAAAAATTAGAAACCTTTGACATATGTGCAGGTGGCTAGCCCGTCAGCTGACTTCCCACCTTTTCCTTTACTCGTTGGGAATGAAGACGAAGAAAAAGAGAGGAGATGGGGAATGAAGACGCAGAAGAATGGGTTTTAGTTTAGAATTTTTTTTTATTTAAAGTATGGACGGGCCAATGGACGACCGTCCATAATTTATGGACGGTTGTCCCCAAAGGTTTTTTTTTTTTTTTTTTTTTCATATATTGGTCAAGGACTGGCGTCCATTATTTGTGGGCGCCCATCCAAAAGTAATTGACGGCCGTCCATAATGAATGGATGGCTGTCCCTAATGTTTTGCAAATTTTTTTTATTATATTTTATTTATGGACGGACGTCCTTTAAATGGGGATGCTCGTCCCTGGTGACCGTCCATATTTGATGGACGGCCGTCCACTAGAAAAAAATTGATAGAAAAATTAGGCACCTAGTACACGGAGACCGGTACACATTTTCGGTGCAAATTTTTCGGTGTTCTTAGCTTTATTGATAATTAATTGGTGAGAGCAACTATCATGCATGATTCACGTTGTACCAAAAAAATCAATGCATATAAAATGAAAGACAAAGTCTTCTGCGTTGTGAACACTAAACAATCAATAATTTTAGATAGAAAAATGAACTTCTCAATTTTTCATTAATCTCAAATGTATTTACAGTATGCTTATATAGCTAAAGACTGATCTGATGTGGCAATCCAAGTGATTCACAACAAAAGAAAATCTCAACCATTCAATCATGAATAATACTACATTTACGAAGACTTTATACAAAATCTCGTTTAGAGCTTGGCTCGTTCAACTCAACTCGAACTCGATTCGTTAACCGAGTTGAGCTCGAACACAGTGAAGCTCGGCTTGTGGGCTCGCGAGCCTGGCTCGACTCGTGGGCTCACAAGCCTGGCTCGGCTCGAATAAGCACTGTGGTGATTTTTTAAACTATTAGGTATTAAACCAATATTTTTCAGTGAAAAAAGTTTTAAAAAATGATAGTTTCCCCCCCAAAGTGCAAATTTGAAATAACACAATAGCGAGCTCGCGAGCCCGGCTCGAGCTTGAGCTTGATAAGGCTCGCGAACTCTGCTTGCGAGCCGGCTCGAGCTCAAGTATCAATTTTGAGGCTCGCTACGCTCGAGCTCGACACTGTTGTAAACTAGCCGAGCTCGATAAGCCAAAAGCTTGGCTCGGCTCGGCTCGTTTACACCCCTATACGCGATGGCGATGTTTTAATATTCTCTTAAAGCACATGTTGCCTATTCAATAATTTCCAATAAGTAAGAAAGACTTACTTCATTCAAGTGGGGTTTACGGAATTAATACAAAATATATTTAGTTAAAAAAATACGTTAAAATGCCACATCAACTCAAATGGGCAACAAATCTGATATGAAGTCGGCCTGGATAAATCAGATAATGATTTTTTTTTTTACAGATAATACTTGAATGTTTGTGATTGTAAGAGATAACAACTATATAAATTTTAAATTTTAAATAATAAAATTATAAAAAGTTAGAATCCAAAATTTATATGATATTGATGTGTTAACAACAAATTAATTATTAAAAAAAATTACTCATTACTTCAGCATATAATAAATGTGATAATTTAGGTCAATAATCATATTAATTAGAATTTCAACTTTGTAAATAGAAAATTTGCTTATAATAATAAAATTGTTTACAATCATGGAAAGCATTCCTGTTATTTGCATCCACTTTTACCATTAATTTCTTTTTTCTAGTTTTTTAAAATAAAAATTCTTTCAATTCAATAGTGAAAATATTAGGCAGTATTTGATTTGTAGAAATGAATGAAAATAATAATGGGATAATGATTTTAACTTAGATCGTAATATATTTCAATTCAATAATTAAAAAAGAGAGATAAAGTCAGCCGCTAGAGTCATATTTAATTTTTTAAAATAATATAAATAAAGTAAAGGTACGTTGAATAGAATGAAAAGAGTGATCAAATAAGATTCCATTGTTATGTCACAATATGAAATCTTTATTTTATTTATATATATATTTCAACTAGTACAGTTAGGTAAAATTTATTTTCTAATTCTGAAATATTTTATAAAATTTGGCTCGTACAATAATCTATCTCTTATTTTTGAATCTTTAGTCATAAGAACCAAAGAAACTGACACTATGTCTTATTTGGGCACACCATATTAATCACCTTGAAAACTATACATTTAGATGTTCCAGGATTTGTTTTTGACTAATAGAACAATGAAATTTTTTTTTGCTATTTGTAGACGTAAAAATCTACCTGTACGGAAGGGGGGTCTAATCCCATGAGGTTTAGGCCACTAGCGATTCGTTGCACCTGCACACGTAGAGAAACACACGCGTGAAGCGAACGGGAAACACCGAGGTGGTGTTTGCCGTAGGCACTCCGACGCTCAAGTCAGCAAGGTTGAGAGAGGCTAATATAGTGAGGGTTAGGGAGCAGAGATTACCAGAAGTCTAGTCGGGGACTGTGACTACGGCAATGATGTGAGGCTCTCAAGTCAGAGCTTTGGGTGTGAAGGTGTAATGTCAATGTCCCCTGTGAGAGGGCTGGCCTCTGCTTATATAGTGACTGTCTGGTCTCCCAATCCTAGTTGTAGTAGGAGTTCTAGTGTGACTCTGATGCAAACCCTAGAAGAATTAGGGTCATGGTAAGCTGTCTTACCAGTGTCCGGATAGGAAGGTGATTCTGATTAGGCTAGTAACTTTGAGTAGGAAAGTGATCAGGAATAGGAAGGTGACCTTGAATAGGAGATTGATCGGGAGTAGGAAAGTATTCTGAGGGGGCCGTGGGCTCTGGATTCGCCTATAGGTCTAGAAAATGGACTGGGATTAGAAGGCTTGTGCCCACGTGGTTTGGACCGGCTGTATCTTATATTAAATGGGCCCAATTCAGTTGAATCATATCGAGATTGGGCTTGGATGCTTCTTCATTGTCGGGCCCGTTTTCTTATTTGGGCCAAGGATGATTTTTGGCCCTAACAGTTTGCCCCCCACTCTTCGAGTTAAGAGTTTCTTAAGTCGAAGAGTAGGGAGCGATCGAGGCACGCTCGGTCTTCCTTCTTGGATGAACGACTGTCGACGTGAATAATCCGATTGTTGCAGGTGACTTGGTCAAGTGTCGCCAAGTGTCGCTAAGTATCCACTCATGATCCTGAGTATGCCATTGTTGCAAAGTGGTGTGCCCGATCGGTGTGAAGGACCGAAGGGAAGACAACTAGGCTTTGGGGACCTAAGCGCTCGTTTGGTACGTCCGGTCGACTGGAAAGGTGAGCCGGAGTGTAATAGCCAGGGCGTTCGCTCAGCATGCCGGGTTGACTGAGTTAAGAACCATATCAAATTGGAGGTCCACTCAGTCGAAATACATGGGTGACCGAGTGGATGTGAAGTACGGATCGACCAGTGGCTGACAACTCGTTTGCTACGGAAGAACGAATGAACTGGGGATCTTGTTTGGTCATCTAGAGAATAGCATGGGTCGGGCCGTTAGGAGCTGATCGACCAGTCAGGAGGATCTCCTAGGCTTGCGAAGATTAGCTGGGCATCAAGCTCATTTCGGAAGACATGCGCTGAGTCGGTCGGGAGGACAGGGCAACCGAGCCTCAACTTCCGTACTGGGTTGCAGTCTCTTAGATGCTTTGGATCACTGCCACGTGTATGGTGGTGATCGATCCGTCGTTTCGAGAGTGGGAAAATGAAAAGACTCCTGACCACCAGCCTATCGCGAACTGCCACATGTCCGTCTTTTTCTTATAAAACTGAGGAACATACTGTTTGTCTTCCATTTGCGTTTTCCTTCTATTTTCCTAAAATTTCCTTTCCTTTTTCTTCCTCTTTTTTTTTTTTTTTTTTTTTTTTTTTTTTTGTCTGTTGAATCTTTGGAAGGTAGACTGAAGTTTTTGAATGATAAGCTACTAAAGGCAGCAAGCAAAAATTAGAAACCTTTGACATATGTGCAGGTGGCTAGCCCGTCAGCTGACTTCCCACCTTTTCCTTTACTCGTTGGGAATGAAGACGAAGAAAAAGAGAGGAGATGGGGAATGAAGACGCAGAAGAATGGGTTTTAGTTTAGAATTTTTTTTTATTTAAAGTATGGACGGGCCAATGGACGACCGTCCATAATTTATGGACGGTTGTCCCCAAAGGTTTTTTTTTTTTTTTTTTTTTCATATATTGGTCAAGGACTGGCGTCCATTATTTGTGGGCGCCCATCCAAAAGTAATTGACGGCCGTCCATAATGAATGGATGGCTGTCCCTAATGTTTTGCAAATTTTTTTTATTATATTTTATTTATGGACGGACGTCCTTTAAATGGGGATGCTCGTCCCTGGTGACCGTCCATATTTGATGGACGGCCGTCCACTAGAAAAAAATTGATAGAAAAATTAGGCACCTAGTACACGGAGACCGGTACACATTTTCGGTGCAAATTTTTCGGTGTTCTTAGCTTTATTGATAATTAATTGGTGAGAGCAACTATCATGCATGATTCACGTTGTACCAAAAAAATCAATGCATATAAAATGAAAGACAAAGTCTTCTGCGTTGTGAACACTAAACAATCAATAATTTTAGATAGAAAAATGAACTTCTCAATTTTTCATTAATCTCAAATGTATTTACAGTATGCTTATATAGCTAAAGACTGATCTGATGTGGCAATCCAAGTGATTCACAACAAAAGAAAATCTCAACCATTCAATCATGAATAATACTACATTTACGAAGACTTTATACAAAATCTCGTTTAGAGCTTGGCTCGTTCAACTCAACTCGAACTCGATTCGTTAACCGAGTTGAGCTCGAACACAGTGAAGCTCGGCTTGTGGGCTCGCGAGCCTGGCTCGACTCGTGGGCTCACAAGCCTGGCTCGGCTCGAATAAGCACTGTGGTGATTTTTTAAACTATTAGGTATTAAACCAATATTTTTCAGTGAAAAAAGTTTTAAAAAATGATAGTTTCCCCCCCAAAGTGCAAATTTGAAATAACACAATAGCGAGCTCGCGAGCCCGGCTCGAGCTTGAGCTTGATAAGGCTCGCGAACTCTGCTTGCGAGCCGGCTCGAGCTCAAGTATCAATTTTGAGGCTCGCTACGCTCGAGCTCGACACTGTTGTAAACTAGCCGAGCTCGATAAGCCAAAAGCTTGGCTCGGCTCGGCTCGTTTACACCCCTATACGCGATGGCGATGTTTTAATATTCTCTTAAAGCACATGTTGCCTATTCAATAATTTCCAATAAGTAAGAAAGACTTACTTCATTCAAGTGGGGTTTACGGAATTAATACAAAATATATTTAGTTAAAAAAATACGTTAAAATGCCACATCAACTCAAATGGGCAACAAATCTGATATGAAGTCGGCCTGGATAAATCAGATAATGATTTTTTTTTTTACAGATAATACTTGAATGTTTGTGATTGTAAGAGATAACAA